TTTTTTTTTTGTCTCATGCTTGCTAAGTCTGATAGAATACAGTAATATTGTGAAATATAGATACTATTTTATATTTGGAAATATGTTCAAATATAATTTATTCCAGTAATGCAAAGCTGAATTTTCAGCATCATTACTCAAGTGTTCAGTATCACATGATCCTTCAGAAATCATTCTAATGTTGATTTGCTGCTCAAAAACATTTGAAAACAGTTGTGCTGCTTAATATTTTTTGTTGAAACCATGACTTTTCAGGATACTTGAATGAATAGGAAGTTGAGAAAAATTAGAAATTAAAATATTTTGTAACAATGTCACTTTTGCTGCCACTTTTGATTAATTAATACATCCTTGCTGATAATAATAATAAAACAATAAATAAAGTAATCATAATAATACTAATAATAAACCCACATTAACAGAATATTCTGAATATTGTCATGACAAGTTGGACAGAATCAGCATGACAAATATATAACGATATTTGTGTAGATCTTTGCTGCCTCCTGGTGGTTATATATTATAGTTGTAGTATTTGTTGAGTTCAGTGTGAAATGAAAACTTCCTGCTTTAGATCCAAGTTAAGCTGTATTAATAACATCTGTGGCAGTTACCACAGATCATTTTGAAACAAAATAAATAAATAAATAAAGTTACTGTAAGGCACATTTTAAATGCCGTTTTAATTAAAAAAGACTCACATTATATATATATTTTGTGTTCCAGACCATTCCAGCGCACAGTCACAATGCATAAGGACAGCTCTGGCCACGTGGGCTTCATCTTCAAATCCGGACGCATCACATCTCTAGTGAAAGATGGTTCTGCTGCCCGCAACGGTCTGCTCACCGATCACTACATCTGTGAGATCAACGGCCAGAACGTCATTGGAGTCAAGGTGAGAGGGGTCACGGTAGTGTTTTCATGATATGCCTTTAAATCTGCTGTCAAAGCCACAAGCCAATAAATAACATTCTGAGATTTGTGGAGTAAATTGTTTTGTTTTCTGTCTACAGGACACTCAGATTAAGGACATCCTGACTACATCTCCCACTGCCATGACCATCACCATCATGCCTAAGTTTATCTACGATCACATGATTAAGAAGTGAGATCCAGCTTTCCTTTATACTCATAAGTGATAATACACAATTACATTTTTTTTTTGCCATTTATGCATTAACTCTGTAAAGCCTAAAAAAATAATAGTCAAGACAGTTAGACGGTTTCTTTTTGAGTATCATATTTGATACAGGCATTTCAAATAGTATAATATAGGAGTACGGAGCTCACATTTGAGGTGGAAAACCTTAAAAGACCTTTGATTTATTCAGATACTCAAAATGAGCAAAAATATGAAATTTAGTGCAGATGCCGATATTTCTATGGCCAAAAAGAAAGATGAAATTCTGGTAGCTTGTAATGTAAAGCAATGGGATCTTCATAACAGTATATAGCAGACTACTTGAAATGCATATAAATATCAGTTGTCACTCTGTATTCCCTATAATGTCTTGGCAAAATAATATTTAAATGCTTAGTTTTATAATCAAAGTTTTGTAGTTTTAATTATGGGGGAAAACATAATGTTATCCAATATGAGATGTACAAATAAACAATCCTCATAAGCCTGATGCATCAAATGTGATACATTAACTTTTCTAAAAAATGATGTATGAATAATTAAGTAAATGTAAGTTGCCTTAGTCCAGTAAGTGTTGAAATCTTTCTAACAATATAAAAGTTATTCTTGTTTATTGTGTAAAGATTTAAAACACACATATACCAGGACCTGAAGGTGGACTATTTTAGAATGATACTAAAAGGCCTTTTACTTGTACAAATAAGTATAAACTATTAGTCAGATGACAGAAGGCATGTAGTAGATTGTGTACAACAGAAATTTGCATTATTATATTAATTACAGGAAAATCATAAATATTGTATATTTTCAAATTCTGTGCAAATGAATGACTTCTTAAAATGTAGATTATACATTTACACTTAATGTAAGATTACAGTTTGATATGAACAAAACGGATATCAATAATTGAATGTGTAAGTCAATTGTCATCTCCTGATCATGACAGCCCTAATCTGTATATTCCAGGATGTCAAGCGGCCTGCTGAAGTCATCCATGGATCACTCTGTGCCTGAGGTCTGAACACAGGAGACCACGCACACCCCTTCACAATGCCTACAATCTCTAGCCTTCCCATTGGAGCCTTCCACCACATGGGTGGTCTATCACTGATTGGATAAACCCCCTCAATCACATTCATTTATAACATGTAAAAATGGCCTTTTTCTATTTCACTTGTTGGCTGTTATCGTTTTGCCTTCTAGTTCTTGATTCTGTCCTACATGTCATTGTTGCTATTGTTTAATTGTTGTCATATTACATGTTATATAATAATAATCCATTGTCATTATTGAGTATTATTATCCGATTGCTTTATTTTGGCTGGGGGGCAAGGGGTTAAAAACTGAACCTGAGCTTCCGTTTTGAAGAGCATTAGCTTCAACACTCCACTTTTAAATTCTTCACACTATGCACAAACACTTTCTTTTTTGTTTTTTATTGAACATCTATATGCCAAGACAGCTGTACTCTGCCAGAAGGAATCCTGGGCCAGAATTTGTAATGCAACAACTCATTTCTTATTGATTTTGAACTTGTTTTTAGGTGTTTAAACTTTGATCATATTCTCTGTCATTATCCTGTAAATGTTAGTGTCTCTAAAAATTTATATACAAATGTATCCTCAAGACTGAAATTATTACAAAAATAAATAATCATCCTGGTGATACCAATGGATCTAAAACTAAATGTTCCATTTCAAAAAAAAAGTTT